ATTTTTATTTAAAATTAAAAACAAGTAAATTTAAAAATGTAATTATATATACATAATGTAAAAACTAATTGAATTTATTTTTTTTTTTTTTATGTGGAGAGGTGCACACCCAAGTGTGGGATTCGGGTGTGCATCAATCATGATCCATACTTTATATTATATTTTTAATGATTGAACTAAACAATTGTAAAAAAAAGTATCTCAAATTGAGTATGTACTAATTATTTTTTTAAATTAAATTAAAAAATAATAATATTATAATTATAATATCGCGTAAAATTATAAATTTATAATCATAATGTAATACTAAATAATATAATATTATAAACAAACTCTTAAATAAAAAACTAATTATATAATAATATTTTTATTAAAAATTTACAATAATACATAATATTATAATTATAACATTTTCAATAAAAATATGAGTTAAATTAAATTAAAGAAGACAACTGGCAGGTGACAACCACCAAAACTGAAAAACAAAACAAAAAAACTAAGTGCTAGGGAAAAGAACGAAAATTTCACATACAATGACCCGTGGGTAAGCATTGGATACAGGTAGATTTATTATTTACGAGTATAACTTATCTATTTAGATAAATATTATATATGAATTATAAAAAAAGAATTAAGTAAGTAATAGATATGAAAATAAAATATTTATATTTATTAAATTAAGTAGTAAATATAAGAATTTAAAATTATTTATCCAATTTACATAATTGATTTTTTTTTTTTTTTGAACATATTTGCAAGGGGCGGGTTTCGAATCCAGCCCGGGGGAAGAAGGAATGCACCGGGGTGGCTGTTGCCACTAGGCCGCAAGGGCCAGGTGCTATATAATTGATTTTTTAAACTACTTATTATTTGTAATTATTATGTTTAATATTTATATAATAATAATAAGGTTAAATCTCCTTTTTGGTCCCTCAAGTATTGTACGGACCCTTGATTTGGTCTCTAAATTGAAAAAATCCCTAACTTAATCTCTACTATTTATCAATTTGACTCCGACTTGGTTCTTCCATTAAAAATCTACC